CAGCCTGAGGAACAGACAGTGTACCTGTCTCTCAATAATAATAATACAGTGTGTGATCTCCTGTCACAGCCTGAGGAACAGTGAGACTGTTCCACAATAATGTTTTATGTTGAATGAAAATGTACAACAACATATTTTAATGTAATTGTGTGACAAGCCAGTGCTTTCCCCGTGGCAGTGTGTGAGACTATGTTTCATTTGTCCTGGTTATTTTTGTAAATGTATTGTAGTGTTTGTGTTCTTACCTTGCGGTTGTGCTCGGGCGTATCTAGCTGGGAAGACGTATTACATCTCCTGCTCGGGGAGAGTGCCCTGCATTTCTGTTCCTGTTTGTGGTTCATAATGTTTATATTCTAGTTGTGTGTGTCCATTACTTTAGGTTCTGTTTAATGTTAAATGTCAAATCTCGGAGGGCCAGCTTCATCTCAGATGGAGCACACAAACGTGTCTGTGAAATGTTCCGTTAATTGATTCCGCTTGGGCAATAGTGTCATAAAGCTCCTTCAAACACGTTGACGCTTCCTAAAGACGAACGACAATGTCCGGACAAGCCGGTCCAGCACCACACCATTTCTGCTCTCCTGGGAGACAACCACATACTGCGAAGGTAAAAATCAAGGTCGCTGGTTCCTGTTTCAGACTCGGAATAAGGAAACGGCCGGTGTCGACTCGTTCCTCTTCCCCATTACTGTAGCGAAATTTCACTTCGGCTTTCTGCCGCAGCGGCACGCTTTGTGTTCACACTTTGCGAAGTAACGGGTAGCGGGGCGGCCTGTGGCGACCCATTACGATATTGATCCAAACGGCGGGCTGTGCCGAGATTCCTAGCTGGGAAATAAACGCAGCCCTTCTCCACAATCATTATCAGACACGAAGAAAGCGAGGGCGTATAGCTGAAAGCGTAGAACTGAAATTAAGGAATGTTGCGTTAAAAATGTGTCGTGCACTACTAAGGCCACATTTAATTACTTTGTACCGTATAAGGCGCTACGCTATGGGAAAGATATTGGAAGCGGCCCAGAGGACAGAAACTAGGTGCACTCCTGGGCTGAAGGGAAAGACCTCCACTGACAGCCCGGAAGGACTGCGTCTCTTTAGTACCACACCGAGCGAATGGCTGAGCAAACTGCAGTTATGTTTAAAGGCGTTTTGCTTAGGCAGCAAAGCAAAACCGACTGATTCATTCAAGTCGGAACCGCGGAACGGACTGACTCATTTTGTGAAAACGATGAAATGGACAGGAATAGGGAAGACAGAAGCCGGGACTGTCCACTTCTGTACAGGGTGATACTAATAGGTTGAAACCGCATTAGCTGTGAAGAAGGAACGTCTCGCTATAAGTGAAATTGCGTGTGCTGTGATTTACGTGATTGTTTTATTTTTATAAGGTACTGTAACAGAGGATCTTGCGTTATGAATGCAGGATAGTGCCATGGGCATTGTGAGTTCCAGTCCCATTGTCTCAATCGAAAAGGCCCGATATTGTTTCCTTTTCTCTCAGAAAATCAGAATCAGACTTGTAATCTTTTCTGTGCATTAAATGTGTTCTAATCATTAAAGCGCTGGCTTTTCCACGGGAACATCATTAAAGTTACTCTCCGGTCATCCCACCCCTGAAAAGCCCAGAGTTAAAGCTTATTAATTTGTTTTATTATTGTATCGTGTGCATGTTTTCAGTTTTGTGAGTAGGCGATACTTATCTTCCTGCAGTGGAATTTAAACTGCCTGAAGAAAGCTATCCAAAGAACACAGAAGGTGCTATTGCCAACTGGTATTTTAATGCCACCAAATTTAATAATGGTTAGACTATTAGTAATCATTATGATAGAAAAGAGCTCAGAGACAGTGAAGAATGAATTATACGATTACAGAAGACAAGTGAGTACACGTTCTCATCAGTGACGACCCCTTAAGGATACCATAAACAAAAGCTATTAAAAGCTATAAGCTATAAGATTATTTTTTTTTAAATCATCACATTTTTTTTATATTCAACATTATGCATATACCTAGCTCGGGTTGTGTTCCCATGACCCCGAGGGTTATCGGTGAAGGGATCGAGTCCTACGGGAGCGCGTCCTTTGCTCAGTGGATCAGAAACTCCCCATGTGTTCCCAATCTTTCGAAATGTGTAGCATAGAAGACATCTGGCATTTAATATCATGCAATTGTTTGTATATCCTAATGAATGTTACCGTGCAGTACAAAAACACAGTTTGGTCAGATCAACGCCGAGCACTTCTTTTCTCTGCTGTTGGGGGACGCAGCGAAGTCCTTCCATCCCCCCGTTCATTTTACTAAACCAGTTTAGGTCCAGTAGAGGCTCTGCAGGGCAGCTGGAGCCTAACCCTGATCAGCAGCAGGCATCAGGCAGGGTGCACCCTGGATGGGACGCCAGTCCATCATGGGGCACACTGACTCCAGGGGCGATTTTCCCAGACGCCAATCAACCTAAACGTATGTCTTGGGACTGTTGGAAGGAACCATAGTGTACGCAGGGGGAAGATACAAACTCCACACAGACAGCACCTCAGGAATTGAACCCAGGATCCCAGCGCTGCAAAGCACTGCGCCACCGTTCCGCTCTGTAGCAAACTTATTAATGGGGGAAAAACGTCAACCAGGGTTTTGCAGGAAGTGCTTGGGAAGTCCCGTTCAGACACCCTCAAGCCAACAGGGGCTGAGTGGATCCGCTGCCGCCCCCCTCCATCTCTGTCTCCGCCACCTCGTCGGGCCCTGCTGCCCCATGGGCCTGCTCGCTCGGAATCTGGTCGTACCCCCGCTGCGACCCCCTGCCCCACCTGCGCCGCCGCTTCAGCCCGTACGCGACCGCGCCGGCGGCCAGCGCCAGCGCCACCGCCGCCCCCAGGACCACGCCGAACGTCTCCCCGCCCGACAGGCCCCGCGGGGACCCGTCGAACACCTCCGCCATCTTCTGCAGCTGGCCGGGCGAGGCGACCTTCCACAGGCGGCTCTGGCCGTCCCTGATCCAGGACCTCTCGCCCTCCATCATCACCGCCACCGTGTTGGTGGCGCCCAGGCCGGCCAGGGGCGGGCGGGTGAAGGGGGGCAGGCGGACGGGCAGGAGCTCGCCGCCGTTGAACACCCCCGAGCGCACGCAGTACAGCACCTGGCACCCGTCGCTCACGGCCGCCACGTGCTGGCTGAAGCCCGCCGGGCAGCGGGGGCGCCCCGCCGCCAGGGGGTTGCCCGCCTCGCAGCTGAACAGCCCCCCGAAGTCCACGGCGAAGCGGGCGCCCACCTCGTAGTCGGCGCTCTGGCAGATCTTCAGGCCGTCGGACAGCAGGGTGAGCGCGAGGAAGCCCGGGGGGCAGGCCTGGGAGTTGGTGAAGGGGTTCTGCTGGGAGGGCCCGTACAGCCCCCCGAAGAGGAAGCCCGAGAGGGGGGGCGCGGGCCCTTCTGTGGCGCACCAGTAGGTGTCGATCTGGGCCCGGCGCACGCGGTAGGCGTCGCCGCAGACCTGCTCGCAGCAGGAGAGGATGAGCCAGCAGCGTTGGCACTCCCTGCGGCACTCCAGGCGGCTGTAGCTTTCCTCGCGCACCTCCGAGCGCAGGAGCGTGGGGCTGTAGGGCTGCTGGCACCCGAGGGAGCCCGTCTGCGGGTTCTTCTGCTCCAGGACCCGGCAGAGCGGCCCCGCGTCCGGGCTCAGCGGGGCGCACCGCTGGTACACCCCCCCGAAACTGAGGTTGGTGGCGGGGCCCTCGCAGGAGTCGTCGTCCACGTTGGCCTGGAAGTTGAAGTTCGGGGAGTCGGGCTTGACGCAGCCCGGGTGGGTGTTGACGGTGTAGTAGCGCCTGACGGCGTCCCGCACCGCGCGGGCCAGCTTGCGGACGGACGGCGCCGGCAGATCCGGGAGGGTGGCGGGGTTCAGGACGGAGTGCAGCGGGAGGCCGGAGCGGTCGATGGCCACCAGGTTGTTGGCGGTGCTCTCCTGCCACTTCTGGAGCGTGATGCCGGGGTAGAAGGGCGCCCCGCCATGGCTCTGGGTCACGGAGTAGGTGACGTTGCCCTGGTAGGCCTTGGTCAGCGAGTCCGTATCCTTCCCCCCCCCGTGCAGGCCCACGTTGACCTTGTTGAAGAAGTTGAGGCCCACGGCGGCGCTGAAGGAGAAGCCCTCGGACTGGCTGCTGGACAGGAAGGAGGAGCGCAGGTAGTCCTCCTGCACCAGGCTGGCGCCGGCGTCCACCGCCGTCAGGACGTGCGTGCCGTACTGCAGCACCAGCATCTCGGCCAGGAAGGCCGCGCGGCGCGTCTGGTTGTTCTCCAGGGCCTCGGCGATCTCGCCCGCCTGCTGCCTGAAGCGCGAGTCGAAGGAGAAGCCCGGGTGGGCCTTGACGCTGTACATGAAGTTGCGCACCTGCCGGAGAGAGAGAGAGAGAGAGCGAACGAGCGGATGAAAAAGGCAAGAGAAAGGCCAGGGCGTACGTTCACTCCCAGAGTGAAAAGCGGTTCATTAAACTCAGGGGGGAGTTGTGTTACAACCGGATGGCGCAGTGGCAAGACTGCATTTTCCAAATTGTGCACACTTGTGGTCTCCACATTGTGAAAGAGATACTGCCACTCTGGAAATGGAGAAGAGACACAAAACACAACCCTGGGCTGAAGGGAAAGTCTTCCACTGACAGTTTGAAGTGCCCTGTATCAACTGGACCGGGTCTGTCCAGGACCAGGGCTGAAGACCCCTGTACCAACTGGACCGGGTCTGTCCAGGACCAGGGCTGGAGACCCCTGAACTAACTGGACAGGGTCTGTCCAGGACCAGGGCTGGAGACCCCTGTACCAACTGGACTGGGTCTGTCCAGGACCAGGGCTGGAGACCCCTGTACCAACTGGACCGGGTCTCTCCAGGGTGAGGAATGGAGAACCCTGTACTAACTGGACCGGGTCTCTCTAGGGCCAGGGCTGGAGACCCCTGTACCAACTGGACCGGGTCTCTCCAGGGCCTGTTCTGCCCACCTGACCCGTTGTCTCTTTTCTTTTCCTTTTAGCATGAAATAAACCTTTACGTGCTCCTTTGCAGCCGATGCGTGCTGACGAAGCTCTGTAGGCCATGACATTCTCTAATGAATATGAAGCCTAAAGGCATGTATGATTCGTCGAAATTCCTCTTCAACAGTGTGGAAATTTTTAAACCTAGGTTTGAGTTTAATTATCATTTCAACTTGCATTAATTAAAAACATGTTGGATAAAATTCTATTAGATTAATTCATTATTAGTTAAATAATACTAATGAAACTACCATTACTAGTTAAATTATATAATACTTACGTGCAGATTATACAAATACAATATATTTGAACTGATCCTAAAGCGTACTTGTCACTTGTGCCTTTATTTTGTCTTCTGCATTAAGGCTGTCCAAGCACATCCTTTTTCCTAACATTAGATTAGATTTATTTTTTATTAGATTGTATCCACATAACTTACGTTCACTTCCATTCATGTTGTATGCATGCCTACTGACTGGAATAGGTCACTCCAGGCTACAACAGTGTCTCAGCTGGGATTCGAACCCACAACCTCCCACTTACAAGTCCCAATATCTGCCCACTGTGCCACATGGCTGTCATGCGGCTGGATGTCTCCTGTCAGTGCTGATGCGTCTGAGTAATGAGGTACGCAGTCGCTCGGAAATGCCAGTGTTTTGGGGGCAGAGAGGTGGCTCTTTGGCTAAGGATCTGTGTCTGTGGCTGGAAGGTTGCTGGTTCAAATCCCACGGCCGGCAGAGGAATCCTACTCCGGTGGGCCCCTGAGCAAGACCCTTAACCCCAGCTGCTCCAGGGGTGCTGTATAAATGGCTGACCCTGCGCTCTGACCCCCAGCTTCTCTTTCCCTGTCTGTGTGTCTCACGGAGAGCAAGCTGGGGGTCTGTGAAAAGACAAATTCATGAAATGCAAGAAATTGGCCAATAAAGTGATCTGATCTTAGAGGGAGGTGTTGGAGAGAACTCTTTGTAATAAATCTCTCACCTGCACGCGGGTGGTGACGGAGCTCTCGCGCACCTGGTGCGTCTTCATCCTCTGGCTCTCGGCGGAGAACTTGCCGTTCAGCACGCCCAGGAACGACACGTCGGCGTTGATAGAGCGGGCCACCGAGCTGCTCTGCTGCAGCCAGCTCTCGATGAGCTCCGAGTGCGTCTCCACGTTGCTGACCTTCTGCGGCACCACGAACACCTCGTCCGGGATGAGGTAGGCGCCGTCCTCGGTGGTCTGGCACAGGGCGTAGCTGACGTTCATCACCCGGCCCATGTCCAGGTTGCGCAGGTTGTCCCAGCCGCCGCCTGGCAGGACCTCCAGCACCGGCATGGCCAGAGTCTTCCTGCACTCCTGGATACCGCTGCCGGATCTCTGGGAAACCGGCAGGGAGCTGCAGGACCTGGGGAAGGTCATCGCGAGCAGGGTCAACGCCGACTGGAGCCACGCGCGAAACGTTGGAGCCATACTATTAGTGAAGACGCCTCTTCTTTACAAATCGGTGGAAGTCGGCCGGCCACAGTTCAGTTTCTGAGCATCGGGGAAGATTTGGCTTTTCAAACCTCGGCGCTGGTGAGGGATCCACACGAAGTCTTTCGATTTCTGCTTCTCTTTTCTGGCTCCGGCTGTCGAAAAACCCGCCTCTTGGTTCCAGTTGCAGTTCAGTCTGTGAGGTTGAACGGGTTCCAATACGCCCCTTTGTGACTGAGTGTGTCAGTGTGTGTGTCCCCGCGGAGCTTGTAGACGGGGGTTTAGTTCGAAAGAGGAAGGACTGCTTTCATGTGATCGGGCTGAAACCTGCCCAGCTGTGGTGCAGAGGTCAGCTGGGGGTGCAAGTGTGTGTGTGTGTGTGTGTGTGTGTTGGGGGGAGGGGGTGTGTTACTGATTGTGATTTGCAGAAGTAACCATGAGCAGATATTGGAATGTACAGGGTGCGGCACTTATTGACTGTGTCCTGTCAGGTATTAACTACCCTGTTGTTGGTTAGTATATCCCTTATTTACTGATACCACTATCAGCCAGGGTTGAAACATGTCCAGAGGCATGAGCAGTGTTCTCTGCATGAGATCTCATGACCCCGACAGTGAATTCAAGTGCGTGGAGCTGGACTTGATTCTCTTTCACCACGCTCCTTTCTGGATTCAGTGACGAGGGTGAGGACAAGTATTGGGAGCGGTTGATTATGGGAGGCCGACCCTGGTCCTCAAGGGGGTCTGTCCAGCAGGTCTAAAGGGTCTCTTCTCCATTCCCCAGCGTCTCCAGAACATGAAAAGGCTTTGACTTGTCCAATGAATCAATTCCTGGTTAAAAGTAATTGGAATCGAAGGTGGAAAGAAAAACAGAAACTTTCGGGACCCCCCAGAACTGGAGCTGTGCCTCCCCCTGCTGTGCTGAACTAGGAGCTTCTTCCTTTCGGTATCCTCGTGCAGTACCTAGTTCAGAAGAACAGATGAAGGTTTATGCCATGCTGAGAAGAAAGGAGAGATAATGTTTCAGCTGTTTAGCCTTCTTTAGGTGTGAGGTCTTTGTACCTGTACCTAGTTCATGTGCCAGGTACCTACTTCATGATGCTTGTTGAGTGTTGAAGTAAAGCAGGCTCCTTTTTTATCCCTATCATAAGTGAAGGCACAAAAACATGCAGTTTCTGCTTCTCTTTCCAGGGGGCACTGAACTGGATAAGACTGTCCAATGTCAGGGCTGGGGAACGGAGACCGTTCCAATATCAGCAGACAGTCTTTCTTCACTCTGTTTCTTCGAAACAACACGCAGCCCCAACCAAAACACGCCGGGCAAAATGACACATTGCATTAGCAGAAAGCATTTGGACTCTCAAAACAGGAAGTACATGGCAGAAAATCAACAAGGGCACATTTACAGTGGCCCTCTGACCAATGCCATTCCTCCATTAAAACATGCAGCTTGTTATGTAATGAAGTTATGTAATTTCAGTCATTATTACACAGTGGCCTAGTAAACACTACCTACAGCCATCAATAGTACCCCAGCATCCTTTACCTTCTCCTACTGCACATGTCTGTGCCATCTGTTGCTACTATAATTCTAGTATGTACTGTACCATAAAACGCAAGCAAACATTATCGCAGCATGGGCTTTATTCTTTTTCCCTAAAATGATTTGACCACAGATGACTGATGCAAAATGACTGTCACTCGAGACCCCGAATATCCAGAAGCCAAAGGCTTCATTTCACCCTTTGCCATTTTGTCCTGTACAAGTCTGTGACGCCGTATATACAGCACGTGATTAACAAATCACTGTCAAGTCAAAGCAGTTTCAAAAGAGGCCTCACTGGTACAGTACAGACCACATTCAGGCCATTGGCTCTTATTGATCAGGCCCCACATAGCATCAGCATTGCTGGGCGGTTTCCTGCCTGGCAAAGCAGCGAGGAAGATATCTCCTGGCAGGGCTCGTCCATGTGGCTGGCTGTCCCTCTCCAACGCAGACTGCCCAAGTGGTGCTCATAGACTTTCCACCCACACGCAGAGAGGAGTCCCTCAACTGGACTGGGGACAAGGAGGGACTGGAGGGAGAAACTGTATCGGTGTTTGCGGTTTGGCTGCAGTCCCTTCAGGGGTGGAGAGCAACGCTGTCCCACTTGCTGACCTAGGGGGCCCGTGGCAGGTGCTGTAGATGGCGGCACACGGGCTGGTGTCTGCACCCCTCTGACCACTGGTGTTCCTCCCTCGTCTCCTCACCTATATAAGAGTGAAGCCAGCTTCGTCCACACGAATGAATGTATGGGGTCCTGCGTTTGCCTCATTCTCTGTTATTCTCCAGGAAATGGATACTATAAAAGCAGAATCTACTGTATATACTGTACACTGCAAAAAACTGCAAAAAGAGACAAACTCTTACCTGTAAATACTGGAGCCAAGTCTCCTTCACTCTTTCCCTGTTTCTCTGGAACTGGACCTTGTAAAGTTGTTTCATCCCCATGGGTCTCTTGTCAGATCAGCAAGGTTGATAAGTGCGGAATGAATCTGCACGAATATGTAGAGGACAGCTGTCTGTACCCGACAGGGCGACAGGGCCTTCTCCTGTTATGCCCCCAAGCTCTGGAACTCTTTGCCCAAGGATATTAGAGAGTCACATTCTCTAAACTCCTTCAAATCCAGACTCAAAACCTTCTTCTTCAGAAAAGCCTTTACTCAACTGGTTCCATTCTTCACCCCTCTGCTCTTCTTAATACCACCTTCCACGGTCTCCTCTATTGTTATTGTTGTATTGTTGTAATTATAATTGTGTCCTATCTTGTGAAATCTTCTTAATTATTGTTGTAGTCTTCTTATTTATTGTTATTGTCATCCTGTAAAGGGCTTTGAGAAGCCACCTTTAAAGGCGCTATATAAAATAAAGTTTTTTATTATTATTATTATTATTATTATCCCCCTTTGAGCTACACCATGCATTCAAACCATTCTTCCTCTATGGGCCCCTGTATCTCTCCCTCTTCCCTGTCCTTGCCCTCGGCCTCTTACTTGGTCCTATCTTGCACACAGCAGTTCTGAAGTGACCCTTTGTAATACCTGAGCAAGGGCTGATTGCCAGTTGAACAATCGTGCAGAAGAGGTTTGCAGTCATGGGAGGAATTTGTATTGGCTGTGACCAAATGTTTCAGTCTGGAGTGACCTGATTTACTCAGCTGAGTACTGCGTCCTTTATAAAGAGTTGTGTTTACTGTGGTGCAAAAAAGTGCTTAGCTCTTGCATGGTGTGTGAAAGCAACGAGAGGTTATTTACTGTTGGGCTGTTGTTCTCATTAGGTGAAGTTTCGGTAAAGCATCTACAGAAATAGAGAAAAAGCAGGAAGATTAAGGACTCCTGCAGGGGCTGGGTCAAGTTACCATAGGGTGTTGATGTGTTTATTTAAATGCTGGTGGTTGAAAACCCCATGACTAAAACGCATTTCCTCTTGTATCTGAGCATTGAGTCTGGGTTCTTGGATTAGCGGCTGTTTGCTCTTGGTGCTTCCCTCTCGACGTCATCTTGAATTGAACAAATTGTCTTCTTCCTCATTTCAGACCAAAAAAGGGAACTGAAAGTCCCTGCTGAACCAGTGGTTATAAATGCCAGTGTGAGATGAAAGTTCAGAAAAATATTTTTTTAAATATAACGTCCCCTTTCTGATTTGGGGAAATGTCTGACGATTCTGCTTCTTGTATTTAAAGGTCCATAATGTGAACAGTTAAAAATAAGTATCTTTTTGTTGACAATTCAGTAATGCCACAGTAATCCAAAACAGAAATTAGTTGTAAGAAATAACAGACAATTACATGTACATCTCATTATAGGAGGTGTGTCTTGATGAATACCTTGAAAGAGACACATTCAAGGATGATATTCCACTGAAAACACTAATTGTAAGTGATTTGGGGTCATATTTGGAGGATAGTAACCTTGTATACTGTACTAAACAACACGCCTGGTTTAAACCTAATCCTACCCTTAAATCAAAAATCGAGTATTGGCTTCTTTCAAACTCTCCAATTCAATTTGGATCTTGTACAGAAGGAAATATTGGAAGTTGAACAATGACTTGCTAAATAATGATAGGTATTGTTGGCCTATACAGTTGATTAGTTCAATTATTCGTTGAAAATAATAGTAAAAGTATGGATTTTGATATTCTTACAGAAAAACTGAAGTATCGGAAATGGAAGATTAGTGCATTTTCAATAAAGTACAATGAACAATTAGCTAAAATTAGACAGGAAAATCCTTCTTGTTAAGGATAGTAATTCATACTGTTATAAACCTTCATACAATTAAAGTTAAACTATCATGAAGTGATAAGCTCAAATCTAAGTAAATGTCTCAAGCATTTGGATGGTATTGACACTAGAATAGCAAAAGGAGCTTGGGTAAAATCGAGCAAAATGGATCGAGGAAGGGGACAAAAATTAAAGTTACTTCTTTAAGATAGATAGGCAGAATGTGATAGGCAGAAAAAAATAGCATCAAAGAATTGGCCATAGATGGCGAGACTATGAGATTTAAGTCACAGTTCTAATTTCATTTCAAAATGGTATACATCAGAGTTTTCACAAGCACAGTCTCAGATGCTCTTTAATAAAACTGATACAGATATACCAAAAATAACCTCACAGTTTAGAAGCTTGTGTGATCAGAATTAACAACTGAAGACTTTGATCTGGCATTTAAGACGTGACCTAGCTTCAGGCACAGTTGGATTAACTGTAGCATTTTATGGATTCCTTTAGAAGTATTTAAGACATTTTTATAGCAAACGTTTTTGGATTGCATATCTAATAATACCGCTTCTACCACAATGAAACAATATATTATTACATGAATTCCTAAAACAGCTAAAAATGAGAAATATATTGATAACTGCGGGCCAATTTCTATATTAAATATAGATTACAATTCGTATCATGTAAAAGGTTACCCAAACGTTTACATACATACGTGCAGAGTGATTAAAAAATCTATGTGCTTTGAAAAAGTTCTAAATTAATTCACCTTGTACTCAAATTCTTTAACAAAATCTAAAAATACCCTTGGAAAACTGGTTTACACAAATAATGTTGCATATAAACTCATTATTTTGTGCTGAAAAGAGAAGAAAGAAACGTTTCGGCTGTGGAGCCTTCTTCCACAGGAGCCTTCCTGCGAAGCCTCCACAGCCAAAACGTGTTTTTTTCTTCTCTTTGCAGCATGGAATAAAACTATTACTTGTTCCTTTGCAGCCTATGCATGCTGATGCTGCTACCCACCTGAACTAACTATTTTGCAGTAAGTGACCTCAATGTTCATTACGTT